TTTCCTACGAGCGGCTGTTCTCCGCGCTCTCCCCTTGCTGCTCGCCTTGAGGTTAACCTGTTGCCGGAGCTTGGAGAAATGCTTGGAGATAACTTACTTACGAGCTGGGGGTTTCACGTGCACTATATGCGTGCCCTTAATTTCTAAATTAAACGTGCAGACTGACTCGTACACGTGCGCAGTACGAATGAGAGTGTCTAATTGCTCGGTGCTGAGGCAGGCCTTTCCTGAAAGCTCAGTAGCTCTTTACAGAGAAGGAAGTGTGTATATGCAAGTGCTGCACAGCTGTGCATGGATATACGCTTTCATTTATCTTTGCAATTTCTTCAGCTCCTCTCGCTCAGGCAGCCATTGTTTTAAATGCTTGTTACAGAAAGGATGTTTACATGTGAAGTGACCTGAGGGTAGTGTTTTGAATCAATTTGTCAAATAAAGTTCTAGTTGCAGTAGCTGACTAGGTTTCCTTTGACTTTTTTGTAGTTTTTACAGCCCTGTGTTGGCACTTGCGTTTTTTCCCCTTCTCTGTTATTTTGCACTTGGGGAAAAACTGACTATGACATATTTCAGTTTTACTTGGTGCATTTCTAACTAGTCTGTAAAACGTAAGTTTCTGTGTTGCTTATAACTGTAATAGCTATAATTTTCCTTAGACAAAAATAACTCCTGCAAGCTGATGTAAGTATGTCCTTCAGAGAAAAAATCAGGCTCTATGATTTAGTTCTAAGTGCTCGGACACAAGCCTTTCCACCTGGGGCACCTGCTGTTTGTATAATGCAAAAGAGCCTAAGGATACTGTAGCTTTGGTGCATTGGGTCGTGAATGAAATTGCTAACGTAACCCAGACTTTTCCCCCAGTGTATTCGCACACAGTGCAGAAAATAGAGAAGTATTTTAATGGAAGCTTGATGGCTGTGATCATTTAGCTGCTCAAAGCAGAGACTTGATTTTTTTTTTTCCCCTCTCATTGGTTGTCTTTCAGGGTTTCGTACTTTCAAACAAAACCAATTTACTCTGTTTAAAAAAAAAAAAGTTTATCTTTTCATTGTGAGCGTATGGCTGCAGCTTTTATTAAATAGCAGGGAACTGTGTTAGCCACAGTTTAAAAAAAAATCTTTCAAATTGAGTTACAAAATTGTTAATGTTCATTTATGATAAACCCAGTTATAAGGGTATAGAGTATTTTCTGTGAAATTTAAATATACTTTCAACCAGAAGTACTGTGCAGCTAGGCTGATCTGGTACGAAGTTAGTTAAGTCCATTGATTATTGCTAACTGCTTAAACGTTGTTCTCTTATTTAACGTATCCATGTTGTGTTCTTACAATCTTCTGATGTTTTTTTCTTATTTTAGATTCTTTCAATGACTTGTATACTTCCTATGTCATCTTTTGTATCCTTCTTATGTCGGTGGTGATATTAGTAATAAGCGTCTTCAACGTTGAATTTTATGCAGGTGGGTTATATAAATCGCTGAAGTGGCTATGATAACTGAATTATTAGCAAAGTGACCATTTAAAAAGCTTTATATTTATACTTAACATTGTGCATCTATATTAATTTAAGAACAAATTTATCAAAGCTTATTTTTAAGTAAAGATGAACACTGTATTTACTCGTTGCTGCAGTGACAAAGGGGGGCCATGACAGTAGAGGATTTGTTTGTGTCAGAAGACTGATTTTTTTTTTTTTTTTCAAAGCAGAAAACATTCTAGATTCCTTAAGAAGAGTGTCTCATGGCTGAGACCATGACAGTAGTGGATTTGTTTGTGTCAGAAGACTGATTTTTTTTTTTTTTTCAAAGCAGAAAACATTCTAGATTACTTAAGAAGAGTGTCTCATGGCTGAGACACTCTTTAGCTGAGTTGCTTTATTGATTTCTTTATCGTTTAGTGACTGAATCCAACTGCAAGGCTTCGTTGGTACCAATGACGTCTCTTTCAAATGAAGTATTTTAGGTATAGCAAATGAAGATTCACTTTGAGCTTTTATTTGCAGTTGTGCCGTCAATACCATGCTCTCGATTAGCACTGATAGGAAAAATTATTCACCCTCAGCAAGTTCTCCATTCGCTTGTTCATGCTGTAATGGGAATGTTGGTTGCTTGGTGTGCTGCAGTTATGACAAAAGGGAAGTTCCAGTTTCTTGCTGTGCCCTGCACATGTTCAGAAAGGTAATTACTTGTATGCATTAAATTAATTATGCAAAGATCTTCTATCGTAAAATGTGTTTATTCGTGTCCCCTTTTGAGCAAAAGAATAAGATTTGAGTACTAACGAAAATGAGCAATTATGTGTGGATATCCTTTGCTAAAGGATACCCTAATTTATATAGCTATTACAATGCATTAAAGAAATAACTGGACCAGAACCTCAACAAAACTAAATTGCCATGATTGTTGACAGAGGTTGAATGGTGAAAGATTCATTCTTCCTTGAACTAGGTCTTGGTTTTTTGGTTGCGATGACAGATCCAAAAAATACTAGAGGTATCCTTGTGCATGAATCACAAAAATAGGCGGAAGGATTTACACTTGCGGGGAAGGGGGGACTGAAATATCATCACATTTTCTGATCAGGACAGTCAAAACAAACTTCTGATTACCTAAGGCTAGAATAACTTTATTTTTCTTTTTTAACTCAGTATTAATACCAGGTTCTCTATTTTAGCCTAGATGATGCTGTTCCTCAGATGTGTCTAAATGAGTATCACCTCTTTTTTCTACTGTCTGGAGCTTTCATGGGATACAGCTATAGTCTCTTGTATCTTGTTAACAATATGAACTATTTGCCGTTTCCAATCATACAGGTAAGAAATTTAAAAACCTTCACAGAACAAAATGTCTAAGCAAAACTGTGACCCAAAAAACCCCTTTTCTTTAGTACTTTTGAATATGGCAGTAGCAGCTCTCTGTTGGCATGTTTTCACTAATTGATGAAGTATGCACATAGTTAGCTTCAAATGCCAGTAATTTTCATCTTCCTCCTTCCTGTCTTGCCCTTGCAAATAAGCACAGTAATTGAGGATGACATAATTATAAAATTTACATCCCTCTGTTAAATGCTGACTGAGGTGGAGCACTGCAGAAAGTGAACTACAGGAGAGAGAGAAAAAGACAACATGCACATACTGAACGTTAACTTCAGGAACTGACAGCAAGGGTCACCTAAAAGCAAAAAATCCCTGAGAGTATTAAAAAAAAATTAATTGTAACTGATTACCAAATAATTTAAAGTTTAAATAGCTAATTAAGCCTTGCTTAAAGCTCAACATCCACATGTTTGTGTGTGTAGTGCTGTGGAAACTGAAATTCCACTAAGCTCTTCAGAGGGGGCTCTAGCAGTTCTGCAGAAGTTTGTACCAATGACAAATGCTGAGGGATGGCTTCTGAACCAGCATCTTAAAAATATTTCTGCTGTTGCTGTAACCTTACAGCAGCCATTAACTTTGCATGACTCCCATGTTTACAGTAAAGTCCAACCGATTGGGCAAAGTGTCTTTAAACAAGGTTATTTGTGTTAGTGCAAAACATGTCATTCGTTTTATGACCATTCAGTTTATCCGCAAGCAAGCAAAATAAACATAATTTTGACAAGATATTATTAAAATCAACCTAGCCAAGTAAAATTTGGTTTTGTATTTGCCTATAGTTTCAGACAGGTTTCCTTGGTCTTTGGGAAAGATATGCTGTTTCCTTTCCTATGGAGAAAGGATTCAGCGTTGCACTACTGCTGTTAGAAGAATTACTGTCAACTCACGCTTGTCTGAATTTTCTGTTTTAATCGAATGCTTAAGTCTAACTGAAATCCAGTGGATGAATGTGCTCTCATTGGTTTTCTGTTTATTTTGCGTTAGACAGCATTTTTATAGTTTGTTTCCCTGTTTGTAAAGTCCATTTCCCCACTGTCCATTTTCCT